CTCTTTGCAGCCCCTTGGACCACAGTCCACCAGGCTTCTCTGTCCATGGGATTCTCCAGGCAAACACTGGAGTGGGTTGCCATTTCCTCCTCCAGGGGATCTTCCCGACCCAGGGATTGAACCCGCCTCTCCTATGTCTCCTGCACTGCACACAGATTCTAAGTTTGCTTTGTTTTAAGAAACTAAGTTTGTCATAATTTATTATAGCAGCAATAGAAAATTAACATATCGCATAATTAAGAGAAAAAAGAATATAGGGAATAGTAGTCACTAAAGTGGCATTTCTTTGCCTTGCAACATAGCAAAGGGCTACATGGGGGGTCCTCTACAAAGCAATATGGCCAACCACATCCCATCAAAACTATGGTATGGCTTTTAAGAGTACAATACTGGAATAAGAGTTACAAAGATGCTTGCTATAAATCAGATCACAGGATTATAAGATAACGGTTCAACATGGTATACATACCTGCTTTCAAAAATGAAAGGAGTAATATCACCCTAAGGTCTATATGATAACTGAGCAGATTGTCTGTCTAACCAAGGTCACAACCTTGGCTTATTCCAGATGAAATTGCCAATATTATTGAGAGGATGGTCACCCAACCAAACACCCTTTACCAAAATAGTAAGCTACGGGTTCCTTAAGATGGCAATGATGATAACAGTGTACAATAGTCCCCCTTCAGAAGATGTTATGCAGTCATGTTTGAAAGGACAGGCTCTCTCTCTTTCCTCCTAAGACCCTGGGCTTCCTACGACTGGAAAGTTTGTAGCCACACAAGGGGAAAACCAAATGGGCTCAGAAAGGGATTGAACCTATGACCTCAGCTTCACCAACATTATCTCCACCAAAGCAGCTCACCAAGTGAAAAGATGTTCAATTCCATTTAAGGTGACCCAGCCTTGAGGCTAACAAGAAACCTGAATACTGTATCCTATTACCTCTGCCTCCTTTTCTTTTCCAAGGGCTGAAAACAGCTACGAAAGCAGCAGTCGGTTGTATAACTGATAACTCTTTTGCAAGAACGTGCATGTGAGGATGGCCAATGCTCACGGCTGTTTGAACCATGGGCACATCACAATAGGTGGACAACTAGAATAAAGACACTTGAGGCTGAAAGCAAACAGCAACAAGGTCCTGCTATGATGTTGGCAAAATTCTCAACCACAAGAGCGAATCAGAAGTTCTCATCAGACTCCAACAGCAGAATCATAGTAAAAATAACTCCGTTGCATGTGAAGTGCTCTTACAAGTATCTCATCTCCGTAACAACCTTAAAACAGATGTACATTCTTATTCCCATCTCAAAGATGAGAAAACCAAGTGTCAAGAAAGGTTAAGGGTTTAAGGGTTTAAGGACTAGGAGTGGCAGCTCTGGGATTCAAAACCAAGCCTTTCTGACTCCAGCATCTGTGGTTTTTGTCCCCATAATACACTACCTTTAAAACAGTAGCAGAATAAGGGAATTTTGGAGAAAGAGGCAGTAGAGAGTGACAATGTAGCAACCCCCTTGCAGGCCAAGAGGTTTATTTACAGTCATTCATTCATTTGATGTTTTTGGAGTCTGTGTTCTATCTCTACTAGGAATTATACCTGTGCAACCTGGAACCACTAAAACATCAAAGGATATTACATGGCAGGGCATGGAGGCAGAGTAGAGAGCAGCGAAATTCCAGAACACACTACAACAATGAGCAAGGGAGAGGGTGTCAACCCCCAGGAAGCAGCAGCAGGAGGCAGAGTGACTCAGCAGGTGGCAATGAAGAGGTGACATTTGGTGCAAAGGTGGCAGATATCCTGTGTGGAAAAACACCACAACCTCAACATGCAATAGGCTCTGGGAACAGGGCCACGGACCCAACATGTTGCGTCTGTACACATACCTGTATGGTGCCTGTATTGTAGAAAGGACTGATCATCTACAGCCTATTTACCTATTCAAATGATAGGCTCTGGTGCAGCGTGGGTCGGGGGGCGGCGGTTGATGATGAGGGATGGCCCAGGGGCCCCTTCAACACCCATAGATCTTCAGCAACATTGAAAATGCCGTTTCTACCCTGGATCCTAAGGGCCTGCCCCTACCTTGAGGGGCGTGCTCCTCTGTTACCATACATAACCCAACCACTCTTTATCATGTACAGATAGAAATCTGAGGGTAGAAGCAGAAATCTGAGGGTAAATTTTCAGTTCTCCATGTCCAATAGTGCATACCTTGGAAATACGATGCCCTGCCACATATCCTAGTTTGCCATAGACAACCCACTTTACTCACATTGTCCTGGGATAATGCTCCAATGTTCCAGTTTGGATGGTAAGTGGTCACCTAACCCAGAAAACAATTTCTGGGGATATTAACAGCTCTACTGTCCTTCTGCGACCCTGCAGCATCCCAACTTGAGGTTGTAAGCCTTGAATGAAATATAGTATAAAATTATGTTGATCAAGGAACTTTAAAGCAAAACATCTGTTACTGTCTTCTGCAACTCCTGTTGTTACATACAACATAAGAAATAGTGTTCAAGATAAACCAGTTTGGTGGTGGTTGGCAGAATATATGACTTCCCAGAGATTTACTAGAGGAGTGTGTGATGAATTTCCAAGAGGGTCAGATGCTGGGCAGTCTTCCCAAACTCGCTTTAACACAAAACCTTTTTTCATAAAATGTCAAAAGAGGTCCATGTTTTACAAAATACTCCCACATTTTCACTCAACAAATATAGGTACCTATTTTGTCCAGGAAATGTTCTAGGTCCTGGAGTCACCAGTATAACAAGACAAAGCCTTTGTCTTCATCAGGCTTACATTTCAGTTGGGGGAGGGGAGGGGCAGATAGGAAATAAACCTGTAAACAAGCATATATTATAATGTGGAAAACAATGATCTATTCCCCCAATGATGGATATTCTAAATAAAGACCACAACAGTCATCAATTCTGAGGAATATTCACGAAGCAACCTGTCTTCAGACAAAGATCTGTGTCTGTCAAAAGCCATGAATCCACGGGCACCTTGTTTTCTGAGTAGAAGTCTCCCGTAATAAGTCTCCGCCTTCGAACTGAGTGTATACTTCTTTTGTCATTAATATATATGTGCCTTTGGGGGGAGTCCCATCTGCCTTTGGCTTTTGTTCGTGGACCAGATTCATAACATGTGCTTTTAATACTCTTTCGTGTCCTATCTAGACTGAGGTATTATTTAAAATAGCATCCCTTTCCAAAGAAACGTGTATAGTTGCCTAGCACCCAGGGGATAAATGAGCACAAATGGAGAGTTACTGCATTTTATGCCCTACATCCCAACCCCGAGCTGGGCCACGGGACAAGGAGGTGCTTTAAAACACCCGCGCACACACACAAACCTCCTACCCTTTGATTCTGTGCAGAACAGAGACTCATATTTAAATGAATAAGCTAAGTTAAAACTTTCCCTCCTGGAACAAAGCAAAAGGAAAGCCCCTTTATGTTGCAGGGGCTATAGATGCCAGGGGCTGAGCCTGTCCCAAAGCTTCCCTCCGCTGCTCAAAAACTAAGCCAGCTTGCTGCATTTAGCACTTCTCCCCAGACCACCCACCCAGACACGGATACACAAACCACATGTGTGAGGAATGCTGTTCGGCTAGGAAATCGGTATCAGTATTTCAGCCTTATTACTTGCACAGACGGCCCTTTTAGTGCGACTCATTTGTTTTATCTTTTCAATAGCTTTGATTATTTTCTTTTAATGGCCTGGATTTATCCTTTTCTACCCTTTTGAAACTTCAGAGCTCCGCAGTGGGGGCCACATGTGCTGGGAGACAAGTTACGAGGCAGAAGGAGCAAATTGCTTTGCCTTTCTGTTCCCTGTGGCCACCTCTTCCGTGCACATGATCCCAACGCCCTGAGTTATTATCAACGAGGACTCAGGAGCCTTCTCATTCCAGCAGTAGATTATTTTTGTACGGCTATAGGGCCCAGTTATAATTAATGGAGTGTTTTCTCGTTTGTGCCTTGTATGTCTCTCCCTAGCGCTTGGGAACCACACTGGTTACCCTTCTCTAATTAAGGGGAAATTAAGACCAAGAGGCTGCGCCGACAGCCCAGGGCAAGTTAACAACCTCTGGAAAAGACTGGAAATGCCTCCAAGAGGAAGAGGCCACATAAACAGAAGGTGTGGATACTATTACTGGGTGGAGAAAGCAGCAGAGTTGAAATGTGCTCAGGCTTTTCTAGTTGGGTGGTATTCCGGGCAAGGGAACCCATAAAATACCCTTAGTTGCTCCACTAATCAGAACAAATGAGTCCATTTATTTTGGACACCATATCCCCAAATTCCCAAGCAGAGAGGTCTGGGCATCAGGCCTCACTTCAGCTGCCATCTGTCTCTCCAGGACTCCCTGAGTATCCAAGTGGGAATGTGATTCTGAGTATGGCGCGGGGCGGTGGGGGGCGGGGGGTGCAGAGGTTTGGGGGGAGACTGAGGTTCAGAGCACTTCCCATGTGAGAGCATTTGGGAGATGACATCCTGTCTTCAGCAAGCCCAGGGTGCTCATCTTGACTTTCTCCTTGTTGGAGAAAATGCAAAGGCCATTATTTTAAAACAAATAAATGAATATCTAGGCTGAAACAAGGGAAAAAGAAGTCCAATTCATGCATGGTCATTAGAAAGCTTAGCTGTCAGATGAGCCCATCTGGGACTGAGGCTTCCACACCTAAAACCAGTTGCTAGTTGATAAGATACAAAGCAGTCCACTATCGTCCCCTCAAGGGCTTGTCACCTGAAGATAAGGTTTCTCAAATCTGACCTCTCTCTACTCTTAAGCAGCATAACAGAGAGCATTACATCCAATCCCTTGGTTTCCTGCCAAACCTAAAGCATTCTCCGCTCTGTTGATGTAGTCTTTCTCCTTCCTGTCTGAACAGGGTAGCATTTTTTGCCACTAGAGTAAATGCAAAACCTTTGTTAAGTTTGTAAACAGAACCTCCCAGAGAAAAAAGGGGAAAAAGAAAAAAATACCATGCACAAGTAACCTGGTTTATTCCAAGAATGTACCCTACCATTTCTTGCCCAATCTTTGCAGAGCTTTAAAAATGTACTGGTTTTAGGACACAGAATACGATGCTAGACCCTGGGGACTCAAAAGATGAATGGAACAAAATTGTGCCCCCAGCTGTTTCTCATCTTGCCATTCATTCTTCCTTAAGACCAGCATCACTTCTTGAGAAAGGCTGGGGGCTCATTTTTCTTGTATGCAAAGGGAAACCAAACCTTAGTCAAAAGACTCTTAACAAATCAGGAAGACTGTACGCTGAAAAGAAAATGGAGCCACAACAAATTTGATATGAATTTAAGTAAAACACCTATTTCTGTGCATCTGTTCTTACATTTCAACATGGGTTTTAGAGATGGGAAATACATCTTAACGAATGCCTTGTAGTTCACATAGGAGCATCTACACACACATACACAATGTATCTTTCAACATAACTACACATACACACTCCATTAAAAAAAGATACTGACAGATTTATAAAACGTACTGGCCTTGCACTGTTAATCTCAAGAATACAATTACTTAATTTATTTTTGCACTGCATGGTAGCTCTAGCCACCGTTAGGGATCTGTCAGCATTTCCATCATAACTCTATTTTCAGAATACTGGAATACAAGTGCCAAAATACATATTTACAGTTTACAGACAGTGGTGGCTTTGTCTTCCTTTGACTTCTTCAATGCATCTTTACAAGGGATATTCAAGGATGGCAGTGCCTACATAATAAAAAAGCATCATAGAAAACAAGAGAGGTCAAAAGATGTAGACTTCCAGCCCAAGACTATACTAAATCATGGGAATTGACTCCTCAACATTCATTGCAATTGTAGTAGTCTGTACATCATACTCATAGCTTTAGAGCAACAGTCCAAAGCAAGATTTTAAGATGTGTGTACGTATGGAGTACACAGCATTAGTATACAAAAGTGCTAAGGGTGGAAAGTAACAAGCATACAGCAAACTACTCCAGAGAAGATCACCTCCACAGTGAGAAAAATGAACACACAGCACCCAATAGCAACACAGTCCATTTCCAACACGAAACATCCAACTCCATTACCTAGGGACACCTAAAACATTTTAAGAATAAAGTCTCTCTTAAATACAAGTATGTCAACTTATTCACACTGTGTGGGGCTCTAAATAGTATGTGGGATGGTATGCAAGCTGGAACTTTTTTTTTTTAAAGAGTAGCTGGGTCTGTAAAAGTTACCAGCAGAAACATTTTTGGTAGAAGATGTGTTTGGTGGAAGAGCACCAATTTTATTGGTTCTTCCCACAAAACGGGTGGGTAATTATTCAGATTATAGCAATTTGCTTTGCAATTTAAAAATGTTTAGGACACTTTCCTAGGAATTTTTTCTCCTAGAGATTTTGTCTCCTGATCTTAAGTTTTTATGTTCTCTCCTACTTTGACACAATATGCAAGCATATATAGACATATCTATTTGTCTACATAAAGAGAGGTGGATGATAGTGAAGAAACGAAATAGCTGCACGCATTTTTGTTGCTAACATGCCTGCTAGAAACTAAGCATACCTTTTTCTAAATATCCAGCTGCAAAACCAGAGGCAAACGCTAATTGATAAGGGGAGAGGGGGAAGTTCTGTACATAAATTTTTTTTCCCTTCGAACTGCTGAGGGAAAATTTAAAGTTTATTATACTCTGGTTGGCTTAAACCATATTCACACTCACCCAATTAATTTTATTGGAAACATCTATATATATATATATGTATATATATACACACATACACACACACACAAAAGAAATTAAACCCTGCAATTTTCCCTTCATGCTTAAAAAAAAACTGAAGCCACTGTTAGAACACACATGTCAAAAATATCTTAACAGGTTTCAAAGGTGAGTGTATATAAACGTGACAGAACTCAGTGGGTCTTTAAGTATAACTATTAGAATTTAATTGAAAGGGGATTTATCATTTTTGCATTTAAAAATCAGATGAGAGCAAGAGTTCAACTTCTAAAAAAAATTAACAATATGACTCTTATTATATTGGAATTTCATGGAGAACTCATTTTTCTGTCTCCGTGAGGGTTAAGTTTTCCTGAATTTTATCCTTTCCAGACAATATTCTGAAGACATTTGCTTTATTACCTAAATTTTAGGCCTAAAGTTTATCACTGTAATAGCTTCCCTTCTTATTATCTTTTTTGTCTGCTTACTTCTTATGTTAACCAGTTTCTTGGTCAGCAACCTAGGGAACAAAAACATCTTTACATTGCCAAATCACAGTTTTGGTCACACAATTTAGACACAAAAATAAAAATGGCCCACACTACATATATACATTTCTAGTTAAACTGCACAGATATTTTAGTTAAGCTACATACATTTCTGGCTTAATTAGAATGTGTGAATTAACATTTAGAAAAATTTCAAGATTTTTAAATGTCGCAAACAATTCCATATAAGCATTGTCCGCCCCTTTCACCTGTAAAGAAACAAAACACAACTAAAACCACGCAATTCATTAGTCACCTAATGTTCAAAATGACTTGAAGTTTCTCCGTAATTAAACAGTGAGAAGCGGACTACAGTGAGAAGTGGCAGGATGGTCCAGCCAATCATAGGAGTCATAACATTATTGGAAAAAGTACATTTGTCCTCAGAGAGGATGCTTTTGAGAAGTAATTTACAAGAGGCATGGCTGTATTATAATTTTTTTAAAGGAAAAAATAGTGTCTTTGGATAGGGAAAAAACAATATAAAAAAAAAATCCCCTTTTTAAAATGCAGAAATAATTCCATTATCAATCTGCATTTACATTCCTGCCCAAAAGAATGGGTCTGGAAAGACCATTTTCTGTACAGACCCTAGTTAATCTCTGTATGAAAAGACAGCATCTGGCGTGGGAATCAACAAGGGAGATACTGGTCTATTAGCACACATAGAGACTTTCTTAAGGCTGATCCAATGAACGAACCTTTGGATCCAGAAGTATTTCTTCGTTTTCTTTTCTCTTCAGTTGAATTCCTAGCACAAAAACTTGGTGTTGAGCTGTTCCTATTTTGCATGTCTCCACTTATGGAGAAGATGGAATAATGACACCAAAAGTATTTTGGGTTTTTTTTTTTCTTTTAAAAATAATTTGCTTTCTTTTGCATGCCACAGGACAGATTTCTAGTTTCAAAACAGGGTACATCAAGAACAAAAATATCCCCCCTCCCCAACCATCTTTATTGTCAACCATCTTTATTGTCACCAATACAAGAAATCCTTCTGGAAACATAAGCAAGTGACTAAACAGGTATCGAACCACTGAATCTACAAGTTAATACATAATCTGTTATGGCAGAATAATCAAGAGTTTTCCCCCAAGGAAAGATTTTGATTTTGCAAATATAAAAGAATCTAAGAGGATCATATGAGAACAAACAAAAATCTCTTACTCCAGGTTTGATGGTAAAGATGGGTAACACACTGGCACCTGAAAAAAGCTGAAACTCTTACTAATAAATAGATCCAAATTAAGAATTTCTACAACATTTCTTTAGAAAACAGAATCAGAATTCCTTTTTTTTTAAATGATGATCCTGTGGAATGCATTCACTTCCATATTTATCTAATATCATAACAGTGAAACAGACACAAGTATGTTGATGACAGCTCAACAATGTAGGATGCAGGACGTTTACGGTACACGTTTGTTTAAAAGTCCTACAGGTTTATTGACTAAGGCTAGACAGCAATTCATATGATCCTATTTGGTGCATTTACTACCATGGTCCAAGATCATTCATTATATGGATACAGCCAAGGACTGTAACTTTCAGGAAAAAAAGACCACAAAGAAGAAAATCAGGGTGGCTATTTGGTCCCCCCAGTTGATCATTTGTGTCCTGGAACTGGAAAAAAAAGGTGGAAAATACAGACTGCAACAAGTTAAGGGACTTGGAAAAAGTTGCTGGAGAGTGGCACGGTATACGGAGTAAGGTCACTGGGCTTGGGATGGCAAGGGCGCTGCATTGAAAGAGCATCCACGGGACCGAGAGATTAGAATGTCTTGTGGTGTCATTCCCTCAACGACTCTATAGTATGCGATTAATAAATAGATCAGTTATGTAATAAGGCAGTGTGTTGAATATGCATTCGTCCTGTGGAATGAACCACCACAGAGAGAGACACGTGATACCATACACATTCTTTAAGTTTTCTCGTGTTGTGTTTGATCTGTTTGTTTTCAAGGCTATCCAGGCTAACTCTTCCCGGGGATTTCCTTGGAGAGAAGAGTGGTCCACTGAGGCTGGTTTGCTGAACCTCTCCTTTATCAAGAGATGATGACTGGCTTTAAAGAAAAATAAAGCTGAAGGTTGTTTGCTTTTTATTTTTTTCCCTTTTGGTTGCATCATTCTGAGTGTTTTCATATAAACAAACAAGGAAAAAAAAATCACAACCAAAAAAAAAAAAAAAACCAATAGTTTTTGATGCATCCAGTTGTTGTATCCTCAGGATGTTCCAGATGTTTCCAGGTAACTCTGTAGTTTACGAACTGTGGTTTTGTCCAGCGAGCAAAGGTCAAAATCAAATGTTGTGTTTGTGATATGAAAGTGTCCAGTTTCTTCTATAAGGTTCACAATCTAGAGGAATGAAGAAGAGAAAGTTTAGGCAATAAGCAATAGGCATCAAACTGCAAAAAGAGAGGGAGAGAGTCAAATATGGAACCCAAGGGGTTAAGAGACTCATTTATAGAAAGAAGGTCCCATATTATTGATGGCACCAAACTACCTCTTAGCCAATTTGGTAGGTCAAAGGCATATTAACCCTTTGAACTTCTCAATGAGAGCAGATTACCTGTTATGATCATTCATATTCTTTAAACTGATTCCTAACTTTTAAGTCATCAACAGACTATTTTACTATAGGGGTGGGAGTAAGAATGGGTAGTTAGTAGGAGATACAATTTCAAGACCCTTTTAAAAATTAGTCTCTGACCCAAAGGACAGTGGCTGTACTTAACAGATGAAAGGAAATTCAAGCCTAGGAATAACAAAACTCCTTATAAAAATATGTACATGCAGAACACATATCAACATAATGATCATTTTTCTTTCTGATTACCTTATTGTTGAAAGCTTAGAAAATGCAATAAACGCACCAAAAAAAGAAAAAGAAATCATTTCCATTTCTACCTCCCTAAAGATATGGGTAGTGACTATAGAGGGGCTCAAGGAAGACTTCTTGGGTGCTGGGACTGTTTCATTGCTTGATTTGGGTACTGGTGACAAAAGATGCATTCACTTTGTTAAAATTGATCTAGCTGCACATTTTGTTATGCTTCCACAAAAAATAAATAAAAATCTATATTCGTTTCATCCATCATGTTCAGTGGATGGCCTTGAGTATTTGGAGGTAATAAGTATTATCTACAGAAAGAAAGGATGCCTTTGTCTCTCCATTTGGAATAGTTATACCTCATTTCTTGAACTGACTCCAACTTACAGAAATATGATCAACAAAAGCGGTGACAGAGGCACTGTTGGTTTTGCCTGGTTTTCAGGAGGACACTTTCTAAGGTTTCAACATTAACAATGATGTTGGTTATGATTTGAAAGAATTTTTTATCCTGTTATGTGTCTTTCTATTCCTATTTTACAAATAATTTTATCAGAAATAAGACACTGTGCCTGGGTAGTATGGGTTTTAGGTATGTCTGTTGTGAGTAGATTGGGATGGAGGGAGGTTAGTTTTAGCAAGCTTTGTGAAGGAAAGAGGAAAATCACCATCAAGATGAAAGAAAAACTTTGTGCAGAGAAACCAACTGGCAACCCATTTGGCCTATTTGTAGTTGCCCGTTATTCTCTTTTACTTGCTTCTGTTCTTTTTCAATCATCCTAAGAGGAATAATTTTAATTATTCAGTCTATTATTTATTCAATGAAGTTTTAGATTACCTAATCTGGAGTTGAAAACAGCAGAATGGAAACTTTTGACCTTCTCTTCTTACAATTAGTTTTCTTCAAAAAACAGTAAATTTGTGAACTGTTTCCTATGGGTCAGTGGCTCTCAATAGAAAATGCGCTCCCCATTCCTGACATATTTGACTGCCACAGAAACATAAAAGGCACAGTGAACTTCAATCCAATTAATTGTACAACTCCAGACTGAGCTGTTATTGCCTCATTCAACTTCTGTAACTATTTTTTTTTAACAGATATAACTATGGGTTTAATAACAACCCCCCCCCCCTTGCAAAATCATGACAGTCACAGCAGACTGCCTACCTCCTATTCATGTGTCCCTTCTGTCCTAGCAGAAGCTTGACTTTCTGGGAGTGGCAATACACCCAGCTAAAACACTGGCCTCCTAAACCCACTTGCAGCACTGGGCAGACACTGCTATTCACAGTTTGTCAAAAGTCACTGGGCTTTTAGGAAAAGTTTCAGAAGGGTATAGAATACGGGCAGGTGACTTTTGCCCTCTGCTCGCTTCCTGTCTGGAAAGAAGATGCAACTCTGGAAGTGCAGCAGCTGTCTTCCCCTCATGTGGATGAATCAAAGATATGAAAGATGGCAGAGCAGAATGGCAATGAGTCTATGTCCTCAGTGCATCTTTTAAGCTACCACACCAACCATGAATCACTTACCTCCAGGCCTATTATTATATGGGGTGGCAGGGAGGCAGGATGCAGGGGCAGAGAGGGAGTCTTACTTGCTTAAACCACTAGACTCAGCGTTCAATTACATGCATCAAGAGTTTATCTGAAGGTATGTTTCTGATTATGGTTAAAGTATGACATTCATGTAAGAATTTATCAAGCTAGATCTTATTAACACTAAAGATCTAAAATGAACTCTCATTGGCTTTATTAGTTAATAGTTACAGGATAAGTCACCCCCAGACATTCATATACATAAAGAAACATGCACACACAGCTATGTCCACAAATACAAGCCTTTCAAGGCAATCCAATACTTACTATATATTTAACATTAATTGAATTAATTTACTCTGGAAAGTACTCTTATCTTTTTTGCTACATTGATTAGAAATACTAAAGACCAACTGAAAATGTGTAAACTTCAGTAGAGCAACAAACAGCCCCTTCAGAGAGCTCTTTTAGAATGGATACAAATAGCCTTTCAATTTATGCAACAGAAGCAAATGACAATTATCCCAGAGTGTGGCTCCATTTCTCAATCAGCTGGCCAGCAGGTAAATGCCCATGTGTTCAGAATAGAGAATCTTGAATTTGGCATATTGAATCCTGACTTTTTTCATACTGTTTATGGGGTCCTCAAGGCAAGAACAATGAAGTGGTTTGCCATTCCCTTCTCCAGATCATAGCATCCAGTCCTATCACTTCATGGCAAATAGATGGGGAAACAATGGAAATAGTGACAGACTTTATTTTGGGGGGCTCCAAAATCACTTCAGATGGTGATTGCAGCCATAAATTAAAAGACACTTGCTCCTTGGAAGAAAAGCTATGACCAACCCAGACAGCATATTAAAAAGCAGAGACATTACTTTGCCAACAAAGGTCAATCTAGACAAAGCTATGGTTTTTCCAGTATTCAGTTATGGATGTGAGAGTTGGATTATAAAGAAAGCTGAGTGCCGAAGAATTAATGCTTTTGAACTGTGGTGTTGAAGAAGACTCTTGAGAGTCCCTTGGACTGCAAGATCCAACCAGTCAATCCTAACGAGATCAGTCCTCACTATTCATTGGAAGGACTGATGCTGAGGCTGAAGTTCCAGTACTCTGGCCACCTGATGCGAAGAACTGACTCATTGGAAAAGAACCTGAGGCTGGGAAAGACTGAAGGCAGGAGGAGAAGGGGACGACAGAGGATGAGATGCTCAGATGGCATCACCGACTTGATGGACATGAGTTTGAGCAAGCTCCGGGAGTTGGTGATGGACAAGGAAGCCTGGCAGTCACAAAGAGTCAGACATGACTAAGCAACTGAACTGAACTGATCCCGACTCTGCTCTTTGAATGGCATTGGACAGAATATCAGAACCTCTGAGCCTCAATTTCCTCATCTGTAAAATGGGGACAAAGCTACCCATTCTACCTATCATGCAATGTTGTTTAGAGGATCAAATAATATACAGAACATGAAGCTTCTTTATAAGTTGCAAATTGCTACATAGATGAGGGCAACATGCTCATGACTACCATGTAAACATAAACTTATCCTTAATTCTCTGGGAGGTAACTACGCAGCACATGAGTTTTCACAGCCAGTGCTTTTTCCCCTGCCCCTCATTGACTGTTGGCCATTTCATCAGCACTAAAACAAATCAAGCAGGGAAAATGCCAGAAGCTAAAAGTCAAAAAAGATCTCCTTGAAATTAAAAAAAAAAAAGTATAATGAAAGTTTGCAGGAGGGAGGAAAGAAAACAGGGAGAATAGCAGCTGAAGGAAAGTAGTTGAAATAACAAGGGATTTCCCTGGAGGGTCAATGGTTAAGATTTTGCCTTCCACTGCAAGCAGTGTGGGTTCAATCCCTGGTTGAGAAGCTAAGATCCCACATGACTCACGGCCAAGAAATCAAAACATTAAACAGAAGCAATATTGCAATAAATCCAACAAAGATGTTAAAAAATCAAAACCAAAAAAAAAATCTTTTTAAATGACAGACTAAAACCACAATGTGGGGGTAAAGAAGTACAGTCCTACATTTTCCCTTGAAAATGACAGGTAACTCACCATTTTAAGAAAATAGAATTCTGTGACTCCATCTAGTTGCTTACTAATTACTAAACAATAAGTGGAAGATAGAATAATAAAAATACCTTCTAGAAAAGGCCACTTGGTTTTAAAGCAAATAAACACATTTACCCACTAGGACATTCAACCCCGTCACCTCACGGGTACTGTACTATCTTGTAGGTTCTGGGGCTTCGATTACAGCTCTCCTGCCTCCTGCACAAACAGCACACCCCACCCCGCCTGCAGCCACACACACACAAAGAACTGAAGGGATCTGATCAGTCTCACTAAATGAGCCCCGCATTTTTATGGGCACTTGTAAGAATGCATCAAGGTGGAGGCAAAGACGGCCTCGGAGCAGTAGCGGTGCCAACAGATGGGGCGTTCAGGACTGTTTGCCAATGGGAACAGCATTAATGATTTGAATTATTAGAGCATGAATCTACACCCTCAATTAAGTAAAGACTTCATAAAGAAAAATAAATGTGGGTTCCTTTCCAGGAATCCTGTTAGAGCATCAGAAACAGCATGCTCTGCGGTAATGACGCAAGCCCCGCAGCCTGCAGACACCACCTGCTGGTCCCTGGAGGGGGCACCCTGCTGCCCGGCCACAGGACTCCCCGATCGGCAAATGCACATGGCGCCGCCCTGGCGTCGTTACCTTGCATCATAGGGCAATGATGAATCCACCTCCGAAATGACAGTAAAATAAAAGACAGAGTGGCTGCAGAGAGGGAGAGCAGGCAAGGGCACATATTATGTTATAGGTAGTGAAAGAGGAAGAGCATGTAAATTGCTGAGCTCATTCTTCAGATGATGGTGCTTGTGAAAATTTTCTGATGGATTATTTCTTGCTACGTCAGCTTTGGAGGGGGTACTATGCAAGTTTTTTTTTTTTTTAAGGGGTAAGATCCACTTGTTAAGTCTATGGCTCCTTCCCCCAACCCTGGTTATAAAAGTCATAAAAAATTATAAAAAGGTAATAAATTATTTGTAGTCTGATTTTACATATATATGCGTATATATGTATGTATGTATGTATATAGGCTTCCCTGGTGGCTCAGTGGTAAGGAATCTGCCTGCAGAGCAGGAGACGTGAGTTCGATCCCTGGGTGGGGAAGATCCCCTGGAGAAGAGAATGGTAACCCACTCCAGTATTCTTGCCTGGAGAATCCCATGGACAGAGGAGCCTGGTGGGCTACAGTCCAGAAAGTCGCAAAAAGCCAGACACAACTGAGGGACTGAACACACACACACACACACACACACACACACATTTTTAAAAAGGATTCTTTTCACCCAAAGCAGCCTCTTCACGGAGTGAGAAGTCATGAACACATTTTGCTTCTGTCTGGAGGGGAGTCAGTGGTGGGGTGAGCTAGGTCTTCCTGCAGAATGGTCCCTGCTGTGTGGACAGGGAAGCCCCTTCTCTGGCTGTGACAACATGTGCCCTATTGGGGTTAGGAGGTGGGCCATCAGGCTCAAATCTTCAAGGAATTCTAAAATACAACAGGAGATTCCCCAAGGTGGAGAAGATCACTTTCAGCAAAACACTTCTCAGGGAGAGTTCTTCCCATTGTTATAACACTCTGCCATCCCATTTATTCCTCATCTCCCTAAAGAAAATTCTAAGTTTAATAGCTGTTACCAAACTGCTGAACCAGCCTCTAAGGAAGCCCTGGTTTTCCTCAGAGGTTATTTTTTTCCTCCTGAGGAGGATGCAAGCCCAGACTCAGAGCTGGAACTGCAAGAGAGGTTAGAAGTGTTCAGTCTCATTTCCAAATAAATGCTAAACATGCGGTTTAAAGAAGAATGAAATTATTAGTCCGAGGTACTGACATCTCTGGTTTTGACTGTGTCGACTGTACTGTATTTTTACCTGATGCAAAAGGGCCTTAAGAACACAGCCACTCTTGATCCAGTGCTTTCTGTTCATTAACCTGGATTCCGGGTGCCAGCACTGCATGACCCCAGAGTAAAAGAGATAAACCACTTTTTGTGAGCCAAAAAAAAATGTCAGGCCAGATTTTCTGATGGGATGCCTTTCATAGGAAAAGGACTGGGATGGGATCCCGGGCTCACTAGAAATCCTGTCTCAGGTGCTGCGGTCTGCACAGCAGAGAAGACATAGACTCTGGAATGCAGTCCACAGGATGAGCAGCGCTCAAGGTGGAGAATAACATCAGTGCTCAATAGTGCTATGCTTTACAATAGGAATTAATTAAGCAGTAAACCGTGACAGGACATGCATCATGGTATCATAATCACAAGCCTCAGCTGCATTACAAGGCAAAAGGCCAAAGACTGAGAGCTTTCAACCGGCCTGGGAATGCAATTAGGTTGAAATGCTGTGGGCCCTGGAGTGCCTTTATGCCAGGTTAAAAATTCATAGATATCACTCTCTCCCTCTAGAATGCTAAAATAATCCACTTCCATGAAACTCTCCAGTTAAGCCACCTTCCCTCACAATGCTTTCAAAGGTCAAAATAAAGGGCAATGTGAAATTGGGAATGCCAATGACACCCCATGGTAAGACCCTGCCCAGTGGTGGAGTATCCTCGATTCACTGGCTGGCTTTCTGTGAGAAGGGGGTCCCAATACTGCCCAAACATCTATCTTGCTCTCCTGTGAGACACTATTTAGGTCCAACTTGTGCAATAATAGCTTTATTAGACAGCTTTTCCATAGTAGTTCAGAGCTGGTACTCAGGAAAAAAATGGGAAAATCAGCTAAATAGATTTACCATCACCATTCAGTCAATGGGCCCCAAATAATTGCCACGTGGCAGGCTAACTAACTAATTTTCAGTTGTACAGAAAAAGCCTGAAGAAAAAATACTCTCAATATACTAGGATATGTCTTAGAGCAAGCCACTCAGATCCTGCTCCCTGACCTATTACACATTTAGATAGACATGCAAGAAATGCAACTTATCCTCAATTAAGAATTATAGGTCTGTAGTCTTCTGTTCAAGTCTGAAACTCTAGAAGGTTTAAAAAGCTTATCACACCAATCAGGGAACTTGGAAAGTTTGAGAGTATGTATTTATAGATTTAACCAAAAATGTACACAGAATATAAATGTGACCATCAGCCATTAAATATTAAACACACACACACATATACACACAGCTGGGGTAGATTAAGTACTAACATCAAGTCATTTGAAAGCAGTCTTTAAAAAAAATTCAAGCAGCAAAATAATCTACAAACCTACCCTGGAATTTAGAACACAACCTTTTTGAGTGTTAAAGAAAAATTATTTTAATTTTTGATGCAATGGGCACACATACTGTAACCGTATGAAAACTAAAAACCACCCTACTTCTCAAAACATCAAATTGTACTAATAGAAATGTCCCCACTCTACAAGTATTCCACAGTTGAGTTCATAATAATAGAATGTATGTTAAACAAGATAAGACAAAAGAGGAAAATATTTATTTTCCTTAGAATAGCATTGGCAAAGGTTACTAAATTGAATCACAAATGTTTACAGCACTTGACTGCAGTTCTTATCTCTGTTTTCCCATGAAACCAGAAGCCTGGCCCCAAAGGTTTCTGCATTCCTCCCATCCCCTGGTCAGCCCACACGACAGCATCAGATGGCTTGAGATCAGTATATTGCAGCATCGTCACTTCCCCAAGTGCCCCGTTTTCACTGCCTGTAGCACCAAAGAAGCCCCAAAGCAGACTTCCAGGTAGCCTTGGAAATAAGCCCCCTCCCCAAATACTCTGCACGTGGCACTGGCCCAGACAGCATGTGGCCAGTGTGGCCTCCAAGCACTGCCGCACCAGTGCAGGACGAACCAGACCTCAAGGCTTCTGGAAAGGGTGGTGTTCCTCACCTGCTGCAGAATGTGTCTTTCCCTCAATGTCATCAGCCTTCTGTGAAGCTCTACCAGTTCATCGAGGTATGCCTGAAAGAGAAGGGTGTGCCCCCAACGACAAGCATTTAGGAAGCAGTTCAAAAATAAAAGGATAAACAAGTAAGAACATACCAGAGGTGTGTTAGAGGTTAAAGGTTGCACATTCTACCTTCTACTCTAAGCTGTGTGGATGCACTGCCCAAGGCCTTTGCAGACCAACTCTCCTTTGGCCAACTAGTTTTTTTTCAAGGCAGCTTTTTTACAAAAGGCAATTTGTGAACTTATTTACTCTCAGTAAGATCCAAGTGAACAGGATTAACCCTCTCCCAACAATGCCTCTAAAGAGAGAAAGGGAATTCAATGAAAAATTGTGAGCTTAAGCATATTATCAGGGTACATATTCTTTTTTTCAATTATTCTTCCATCTTAGGCTTTTTTCTCTTAGTTATAATGTTTCTAAGTTTGAACATGGGAGTATCAATGCACATTACTAATCATGTAATTAGGGCAAATTGGAGGGGGAAAAAAAAACCTCTCCTGGTCATATCTAACATGGCCAGTGAACAGCAAGTAACAGGACAGAAGAATATCTTAGGAAAAATAGAGGTCACTATCCAAATTAGCATCTGGCTTGTCAAGAGTTCCCCTGAAAAGGCTGGGGTGCACTTTCATGTGCTCAGACTCGTGTCTTTGTTAGCATAAATGCCTGGGTGTTCTTCGTGCCATTTGCAATGAAAGCAAATAAAGCTTTGTGAAGCATTATCCAGGCCTACCCCGATCCTGCAAAGCATGTGAGGACCTTGCTTACAACAGGCCACAAACCCCCAATAACCCTTGAAGTCAGATTTTGGATGCGTGACTGCACACTAGGGGAAAACACACTGCACTGGGATCAGATGTCCTGCTCACTTAAGTCTGAGATTCCTTAACTCTCCACCTCCACCACAACTCTCTCACCTCCTAATTCCATGTGTCTGAAATCCCTTGACCATCATGGATAGCAAAAGGCCAAGTTTATCTTGTTTACTGGAGATGTAAACAAGACTTTGAAAATAAACTACAAAGCACTGGGAAGAAGCGCCTGTCATTTGGGGATTTCAGGCCCTTCTGATGAAGAAAATGAAATGAGAACGAGAAAGAATGATCAAGGGAAACACAACGAAACAAGAGTGTCAGGGCTACATTACTCACGGTAACAGACTAGAAACCTACCTTGTCACATTCACCATTCTTTATTTGCTTATCTGATTTGCTTTGCTTTATTGGACTTTTCACTTCAAGAATCTAGGGATCAAAGAGAACACAGTTAAATTTGATTGCTAGCACTGCTTGGCTAACCTGCCACATAAACAAAAGCACTATGAATGAAATGCATAATAACATCACTTTCCAAAGAGCATTTCTCCTCCTCACATTTTATTTCTTCTCCTCTAATCTGACTTTCTCTGGGAAAATAAATTACTTATATCTGAAATGCTGAGTCAGGGCAAGAGAACTTTAAAAAAAGTGACGATAAGGAAATTGATCTAAGCTTCCAAGGCTGCTTCTCTTTAGTGACAACACTCTCACACATGTGCACAGCAGCTGAGTTGTAGTAGATTACAGTCCCCCCTGGCAAGAAATTTTTCTTATTCATCCTGTTGTTTCAACATGACTACCCATGCTCAGTGCAGTAAGGATGATAAGACAAACACTCAAATACCCTTTCTAGTACCTGCCTCTCAGATTCTAAAAAGCACTCCTGTCTACTAAATTCAGGAAGCTTTGGAAGTGAAGGTGGCTGCCACACTGGCTGCTCCCAACTTGGAATCTTCCTACTCGAGAAATAAAGAGCCAGGACCATCTTCTGTATTCTAAGAAATAATATATTTACCCATGATAAAATACCCACTGCCTTTCCTTTGATCTGAACCAATTATAGCTTAGGTTATGAAGAGCAGTTTTGCATACTGTTCAGACGGTAGGGAGTTACATTTCTAATTAATAAAAAGGAGAAATACATTATTACTTAATAAACACAGTTGATTAATTAGAATTTTCAAAATTGAGAATTATGCTTAAAATGGTGAGAACCACTGAAATTATTGATGAGTGTTTACAGACATATAAAAACATAAAGGCAAAGGTAATTTGTCTTTTTCATTATATTCTCATTATCAAATGAGTTTCAATCTGAAGCTAATATTGAGGAAGAAAATGCCAATAAAGAAGATATTAAAGAAGTTTACTCTTCTTTAGCACACATACACACACACGTCTCACAGTTCTGTTCAAAGGTCTACCACTTCCAAAATGCACAGAAGATTTTTAAAATGAATCCACATTTATTTTGTAATTTAACTTGTGGAGAGAGCACTGATAGGGCTGGTACCTGAACTTGGGTTTTTGAGCCCAATCATTTAATGTTTTTTTGGACTTTGACAAAAATGAGACAAATAAAATGAGAGCTAGGAGCAAGGGAGCATCCAGGTTCCCATTTAGCCATGAAATTCTCTACTGCTAATAAGCACTTTACTTGCTGAGGATGACATTCTAGAAAAGTCCCAATACTTCTCAAAAGGAATACATGTTTGTTTGAATTTAGGAAAATGTATAAGAAGTGAGTTCCTAACAGCATCTTGCCTGAGAATTGCCTTTCTTCCTTCGTTTTTGAGATTAAGATACCAGATGACCAACGTGACCGGGCTAATTTCAAACAAAATACTTCTGGCAACACAAGGAAATTACTTAATCGCAGAGGCAAAGCAATAGCTTTTAGTAAAGGAAACCAAACACCCCTACTACATTCAGAATTCCCTTCTCTATTTTGGCTGGAAATGAGACCTCGAGGGAACGTTCGTTCGCACTGCGACCTAGGAGTAAGTAGGTCAGTAGATGGCACTCCTCGCCAGCTCAGATGCAGGGCTGGGCCAGGCAGAGCCAATCTGCTGTGAATGCAGGCAAGAGGGGAAAAAAACAGCCCCTGTCTGCCTGCCTTGTGCATTAGAAAACTGAATTCTGTTCCCATCATATCCTTCCCCTGCGTACCCCGCCATTCCCTGCCCCAGGTCATTGTTCTCTGGGGACCAAGTGACCGAGAACTCTCCATGGGGCCCACAGAGTCGTGAACTAGGTTGAGAAAGTTCCACCACCTTCTCTTCAAAGCAGAAAATAGAACACGCAGGGCGCTGAAATCCCATCCTACACATTCCATAAGTGCTGCGGCACAGGAGGCCCAGAGACAGACACTGAAATCCTGGTTTCTTTCTTCTGAAGCCGCAGAGGCAGGAACAAAAGCCCCGGGTGTCAGTGATCCGCCTCGAGTTACTGAGGGGCTGCCCAGAGAGGGCTCAGTTAATCTTCCTGCTTTGATCTCTCCCTGCTCCAAAATAAACAGCTTTGTCAAAACCTCATTCTGAGAGCTGATCCATGCTGAAGACAATTGTTTTATTTATGATCATTTCTTATCTTTAAGGAAACGACTCCAGAATAGAAAAATATGGCACCTTGTCTTCCACAGGCCAATTTCAAACCAGTTTAACTGGATGGACTCTTTTATTTCATTCAACACGCCTCCCAGGCTGATAGGTGATTTATGATATTCTGAATATTAACTTGGGTCCGATGGATCGCTTCCTTCCTTTGAGGTCCCCCCTCTCCTCCCTCCCCTTCAATACTTTCAGCCAAAAAGGATCTAGAATTTTGATTTTGTTTGAAATTCACATAAAGAAGTTTGAAGTTTAAAAAAAAAAACCAAACTTTGGTTAAAACGGCACAGCATTATTCTTCTCTATTAAGCTGTAGGGAGAAAAAACAGCCACCCAGACTGCTGAGAGGCACCATGTATGCAGGTGATAGTCTCTGAAAATAGAACTATGAAGAGTTGCGCTACTATCCTTAATCTGAGGATCTGACTTGAGAATCAGATTTTCAAGATTATTATTTTTCTGTATTCTTTTGTGAGGGCTGACAACTCAATTACTCAGCAGATGGATTCTCTACCGCTGGGTCTTTGATGTTAACGATCACTAGTAGCTCCTAACAATACTCAGGTTAATTACTTGCTTTGTTGACATATGGCTCTCTCTCTGTTCACTTTTTTTCCAAGAATTAGAAATGTCTGACTCAGTGAGCACTTTCTCTCTTCCCCAGCCCCTAGAAAATTGAGAAAAGGTAAGGAAACCATGGCCTTGCCTGGTAATTTATAGAAACTTTGAGACTATTGTCAACCTACAGAGACAGAGCGAGAATAGGCGAGGGATATGAAAGAAGAAGACTCAAGAGTCTGCCCATTTCACAGTTTGGCCTTCCTGGTAAGTTTTCGCTTATTTCACATGAAATTTCAGATCATCTCATCATCATCACTATCACACTCAAACACACACACACACACAAGACTAAACACACTCCAGTTCTAAGACATAGGTCCAAAGAGGAAAGCACCCTTGGGGTACATATATTTCCGACCCTAAACTAGTTAAAAGTGAAAGCATATGGACCTCCTTATTATGCTTCTAGGTGTATGGAGAAAGTGACATATAACTGAGTATTCCTGACAGATTGATGACTCACATGTGTGAAGCTACATTTGTCAAATAACATATGCCAAGAAACCAGTGGTATGCTATTTAATCGGATAAACTAATTTTTACCCTTTCTAGATAGATGGTACCATTTCAATTTTGTTTTGCTTTTTTTCATTCTGCCAGACAGTCAATAAAAAAAAAAGTCTGACAAAGAATCTAAACCTTTCCCTGAAACCAGGGCCAGGTCAAGACTGCAGCAGGTCCAGGAAGAGACTGGGGCAGTTCTGTCTGCAAGGCAAGATGGTGGCTTGTTGGAGCTGCATTTATTTAGCAAGCATAGTCTTCACTCCACCTGAGAACAATGCTGAAGACTACTGCAGGGCACAAAAGCACATCCTATAATGCCCTGCCCTCCTGGCCCTGCCAAGGCCACCATCACCACCCAGGAAGAATCCTAATTCCAATACACCACCCACTGGAAGCAGAAATCAGGCCTACATAGGTTGAAATTGGATATAAAAATATATTCAAGGTCCAAATGCTATTCTATTGACAGTTCATACTGAAGCACACACTTACAAAAGAATCCTCAAAGTTATCTAGTTAGCCAGCCTAGGGCCCTTCTCAACTGACTGGCAATGATGGTTATGCCCGTGGTCCTCAGTTTCCCCTGACATGCTTGACTTGGGAGTACTGGGCAGCCACACTTGAGGTGACAGCTGGTTGGGTCATGGGTATGGCTGGCCCTGGAGGTGGGGAGACACACGGACTGTGGGGAGTTAGGATAAGGAAGAAGAAAGTACAACTCCTTGCAGGTCAGTCTGTAATGGACGAGGAGGTTGGGCCCGCAGTCACATGTAGGACACAAGGAAACTGTAGTTGAATTGTAACTGGAGAGGTAAAGAACACTGATATTATTCCTACCTAATAATGGAGGCTTTAAGTTGTAGATCAATTAAATGAGGAATTTTACATTTTAAGAGATTTTTGCTTTATATGAAATTTGAAATGAAAACATCTTTAGCTATAAAAAATCACATTTTCCCCATAAAAGAAAGCTCACAAATTTCAAGGACAAGGCCATTTAAAACAACAGGTAGGACACCTGTGAAACAGAATAATTTTACAAACTACATTTTCAAGTTAACATTCATATGGTAACTTGAATTAAGCAATTATTGTGAGGTCTCACAGAATCTGTCTAAATAAGGAAAAAAGAATAGCATGGTAATAGAGAATCAACCCAATGCATAATGAAGTTTTTTACAATACTTGAAAACAGCTTATTTTAGCAAGTGTTTAAAATAATCATTCATTTAATAAAAGCTCTTCATCGCAGCTTTGCAAGCTCTGCCTAGACCTATCCAAATAACTATATTCTTTACTCTGATTATCAAATTAATAAGCTTTCCTTTAGCTGGATTTATAACAACAGTGATAATGACCATTGTTTATATTTTATAAATGATTCCTTACAATCCCAAGTGATAATCCTTTTTTCCTGGATGAGCACAGAGGCAGAGCACCTATACTAACCATATATCATCAACTGTTTGCCAAGAAGTATGAACCATGCTTCATGCTCTTTACACATACTTTTTTACCACCCTCCCAGGAGCCAGTAAGGTAAACATTAACATCCCCATTTACAGATGAGAAAACTGAGGCTAAATTAAAAAATTTTTTGTACCAATAAACTACTATAAGTCAGTAAAACAAGAATCAGGCTTCATACTAGCTCCAAAGGTCATATTCTTCTCAACTGACAGGGGGAAAATATACAGAAATCAGGAGTAAATGGGCAACACTTTTTGTTACCCTCCTGTCCTGCATCTATTGACATTTAACTAACTCATCCAATGTCATACTTTTGTGACAACTTAAGTTCTTTTACCCTATGTATTTAGTCTTAAGGTTGTAGATTCCCAGTTATTTGCTGTCAAGAGGGACTTTGTTTAAAATTTAAGGGGTAAAAAGCCTGGCATACTTTGAGTTCTGCAGAATCGTGAGAAGTGCAGACCCAGAAGCTTACCTGGTTGTTGTTGGTTTTTAATAAGGGTGGCGGGGGTTCATGATGTAGGGGTGAGGAAGCAGAACTGCTTTCACTATCACTGCCATCACTTAAGCTAACTCTGAAAAGAAACAGAGAAGTCATTCGCAGAGTTACAGACAATTCTTGAACTATCCAAAGAATTAGGGGTAGAGAGCAAGGCATCCAAACATTAATCATCGGGAACTGGTTTCAGTTCATACAATCGCTACTACCTGCTGGTGTTTACTTTGTATCTAGAAAGGGGTTAAACGTTTGACTTACTACTTCTCATTTAATAATCTCCATTTCATAGATAAGGAAACTGAGACAGACTGGATCACTCACATAGGGTCACAGAGGTAAGAGTGCTGGTTCTAGGATTCAAATCCAAGCAACGTGACCCACAGCCCTAGTACTCAGCCAGTATATTTTGCTGCCTTCATTTATTCATTTATCTCCCTGTTCCAGCTCCATCCACCTACTGTCATAAGCATGTCACCCAAACTGGAAGTTCAGCAAAATCAGACAGTTCACAGGTTACTACCCTTTTCCCCCTCCTTTCCCTCTGCCTATTTGTTACAGGTGAAAATTTTACAAGTATGGCTAAAATATAGAGTGCAGGAATGGAAGTAACTGCTAAGAAGAATGTGGATCATGGCCCTGCAGGACTGACAGTTAAGGGTGACATCTGAGGGTGGGAGGTGTGAAGCTCAACATGACAGACCCATCACCAATCATTTCCACTGTGTCATGATGCAAAGTTGACCCTAGTTCCGATATAATTCCCTGGAAATACACCACAGAACATGAAAAGACAGTGTGTTTGGGAAAACTGCTTTAGAAAAATACAATGTCTTTCAAAAATGAAAGACAATAAAAATATCACCTCCTCATTTTTTTTCCTTTCCATTCAAAATGGAATTTTCTTTCAGCGAGAATAGGAGATATTTCTTTATTTACTCTGCTGAATGTATGTACTCTTTTAGAAATGTCCTTCAGTGTTTGCTCCCTCTCTTTGGTTATATAGTAACTTAATACAATATTCTTCTCAGAAACAGAAAATGCTTTAGAAATCAGGATAGTTTTTCTGTTGTTCTGAATAGGCGATCACATTCCAGCCCTATAATACATTCAGATAGACAAGATACGAGGCAGGAAATGAAAAGGATACACTGGGACATCCTTTTAGGAAAAAACTGATGGAACTTGTTTTTCTTAACTAAATTACATTAATGAAGTGTTCAGTTGAAGCGCCGCTTTAAAATGCTTCTTGACTGAAGTGGAAGGCTGAGTATTTAAACTGATTAAACAGTTGAGACTGCACAAGTGCAATGAAGATCAAATGTTACCCAGGCAGGGACTGTGCCAACAGCGTATGTCAGGAGGCAGGGAGAGCCTTGCAAACAACATGCATCACGTATCAGTGAACTCACAAACATGTATGATCTGACCCATGCTGACTCAGGGGACAAGGCAAAGAGGGGACAGGCCACAGCACATCACAGAGTATCCAGGTCTTCTACATACTAAAAGTAAGTTGGGAGATATCTAGACTGGTTAAGCATTTTTTCACCAGCTAAATGTAAAAGCAGTCAGTGGTCAGGATTTCCATTGTTATAAAGATGCTCCTACACCTGACTACAAGTGTAGTCACATGAACGGACCTACAAGTGTCAGTTCATTTTTAGGTTTATTTTTTTGCCCCATCAGTTTCCTTCTTGTCCGATTAAAGACTTGTAAAGGGAAACATTACAAGGCCAAGACCATAAGGTTCCTTATGTCTCTCTTATTTAAAAGGAATACAGATGGGTGATTTTGGGAGACGAGTAGAGAAAAAGGAATTGAGTACAGCCATAAGAAAGAACCACTGAGAGATGGGACAGGGTACATATTCTAAGGAGGACATATTCTCCAAGGACACGAAGGAATTACCAATTAGCAAACATATGGTCTGTCCAGTTTGGGTTAAGATCACATCATTTTGGGGAATTTTAGGGCCTGCTACCCAGTAATGGATAATGGGAAAAGACTTAATGCAATATATTATCAATGTAATTGGATTTTAAGTTCAAATAGATTCATATTTTTCCTACTCAAAACCCATTAAAGTAAGCACAGCTATTTGTTTTTCTCATGATAAATAAAATCCTCGAGGCAATTTCAGGTTGACTATTAATTATAAGTGACATGAATTAGCATCTTTCCAATGCAGAAGTATGCCTCGCCGCATTAAAGCTACTTAAGTAACAGCACACTTAAAGGGAATTTAGTTTCTGGAAAATACACAGGTGATCCTAGTTTTAATTGGGTCACACATAATTCATTGAAATCAATCATGCATTTCTAACTACAAACAGCGAACACATTTCCTCAAATTCTGAGTTATGAATACCTACAACAACGAAGCTACACAAATTCTTCAAATGAAAGCAGAGTTCATTTCAGCAGCCAGTCCTGCCACCCTGGCATTTACTTTGAAGAGCAAAAGCTTCCAATAGGACTTTTTCTCTGTAAAATTTATAGAGGAAAAACTTCTCCTTTCTGAGAACAAGGGATAAATAGTTCCCTGGGGAACAGTGAGTGTAAGCATGCCAAGGTGCCCCAACTTAAACTTTGTACGGCATGTAATCTATAAAAATAGTATATATTATATACAAATATCATGTATTAACATCTATATATGGAGTCTAGAAAGATGGTACTGATGAACCTATATTCAGGGCAGGAACAAAGATGCGGATGTAGCAAACCGACTAGTGGACACAGCATGGGGGTGTTAAATAAATAGTTAGTGGGAAGTCGCTACATAACACAGGAAGCCCAGTCTGGCACTCATTGATGACCGAGAGAGGTGGGATGAGGGGTGGGTGGGATCGAGATTCAAAAGGGAGGGGTTTCACATATATATATATATATATATGAGAGAGTGAGTTTTGGCTAACTTGTGTTGTATAGCAGAAACTAACACAACAGTATAACGCAAGCACCCTCCAGTTAAAAAAATACATATATACTATACTATCGAATTACTATGCTATACACCTGAAACTAACGTAAGTCAACTATACTTTAATAAAAATAAATACTTAAATAAATACTCAAAATACTTTTAAAAAAATGAATGTGACTATTTACTTGCCATCGTTTTTGGTATTTCACATTTTTGCTGTGGTTATACTCTTAGATCCAGTGAAAAGGTATGATTCCATCCCAGGGAACCTCAGCTCTACCAAGACACTCACCTGCGACTTCGGCTGCCCCCTCTATTTACAGGTCTCTCCATTTCGGAGTCGTTGTCATTATCCTCTGCCTCATCTGATTCCTCCTCGTTGTCATCAGAATGCAGATCTTTCATTATAGACCTTAGAGGACCTGAGCGATGACAATGAACCACAGGCAATCAAATACACTTAGCGATAGCAGACACAGGGGGATAGCTTACCAGCACCCAACACTGCTTAAAAACTACCATCATCAGATACAGTTACACAATTTACATGATAAATCTGGTAGTTTCTGGAATGCAACCTCTGCCAAAACACTACTGCTTTCATAACACATGCCCCAAAATGTTCTTTAGAAAATCTCTATTTCCTAGCAACTTTTTTCCTGTGCATTTTTCTTCCCTAAGAAAAATCACACCTAAAAAGAAACAGAAAGATCTGTTAGTAAATTGAATGTTTTGTTAGGTTAATCCATGTATTGAAAAGTTGAGACTAATAAATCACCACGGTTGTAACTTGTTCTTAGCAAGGCGGCCTTTGTGTGGTAGTTTTTGATCTATTAAGGTTTAGCTGTTCCTTTTATTTCAAGGTCAATTTCAGGTCAAGCAAGCATTTCAGTCAAGTTCAGATTATAAAGTATTTCAATTCCATGGTGCAATGTCCTATTTCTGATCTTCATATTGATCTTGGACACAAGGTCTTGTTGCAACAATTTTGTGTAGCCAATTTTATTTTACTTTTTAAGAATTTCCTGGCAAAATATTGGCATGAATTTACATAAACAAGGCCATATAATAAATCAGTGCCCAGAATATTCAAAACAGTATCCAGTATTAGATGGGAGAGAAACATCAAGGCAGAACTTATTTTATTCTAAAATGTAAAAAAAAAAAATTTTTAATTCACAGAAAAATGCATTAATGTGGTTTATTTTCATACTACTATAAATGTAATGAAATCAAAATAGATAATTCTAATCTTAACAGAAGAGATTGTGAGGACAATGGAGAGAGTGAGGGAGGCACTTTCACCCTAGATTAGCCAGTTCCTAAAGGCTAATCTGTGATAGGCTCTCTGAGCTATCACTGCCTTCCTTCTAAAGTAAGTGTTGACTCTATGTCATCTCACATTCTGCAAACTCCAAATTTCTCTGCTTTTGTAATGGGCTTTTATCTCGGGAACTCAGTGGAACAAGAACTCTAAACAGCCAAAATGAACAGTGTCTTTTATTTTTTCCAGGAAGCTTAGCCTTAGCCTAAATGCACACAACAGTTTAATCCTTTTCAAAACATGCAAGGCCATCAGGAATTCAGTGTGGTCAATCAAAAAAGGTAATGTGCAATGTGATGCCCAGAAACAGATTATTTCTTGATATAATCTCAGTTTCCCTGTTTAAAAAAAAAAAAATTGAAAAACGGGCCTGTGTTTGTAGAGTTTCCACACATGAAAAGTGGAAAATATATTTAGTTAATGTTTCAGTTTAAATTTTCTTACTAAATTTATTTTGAGTAGAAGAAAATATATTCTAAAGATAGCAAATTAACACTCACCACAGAAAAAAGTCTATTAATCCGTGGAAAAATAATAAAATGAAAGATGTCCAGGAGGGGGACTAAAAACCTATTTCTCTCTGTCAAAGCCTCTCAAGTCTAGCTTTCGCTATTGTATTTCCTTTGGGAACTCCCTGGAATGGGCTGTGTCTATAATCCTTTTGTAAAATGGGACTCTGATGGCAGGGACTGGAAAAAGGGGAATTTCTAGAGGCTGGCCTCATACATCAGAACAATACTCAAGTGCATTCCTAGGGGAAATAAATACAACTGCATAAAAGCCAAGTTATCATTCAAATAATAAAACAGTAGAAAATAGGCCATAAATCAAGTCATTAAGATGTTTTATGAGGAAAATGTCTCCGAGCTGGCCTGGGAGATGTGGATACCTTGTTGCCTGGTCTGGGATGGTGTGAAGCTGGAGCTGGAGCTGGAGCTGGCAGGACTGGGTTGTTCAGACTTGAAATAAAAAGAGAAAGGCACCATCAGTAAATGCATAGGACACTACACACCTAAAATTAGAAATACCATTGTTGCTCAAACAGATTTTGCCCTACAAAAACAGTCTGACACTGTGCAAGAAAATGACTACAAATTGCCTCATGTCAAAAATGCTAACACAGGAAAGTCAGTGTCCTTTTTGTTTTGTCCACAATATTTTCATTAGATGCAGGAAAAAAGTGTAAAACTTCAAGGATAAAGAGGGACACACCTCATAAGGCAAGAAACCTGGCTTTGATTCCATTCCTATGTTTACTGTCATCCGCATTGCTTTCTGAAAGATACCTTGATTACCCTTTCTGCAACGTTTGATTGACTCAACTGGTTAAAACATAGTGGTAATGAGGCCAAGGTCCTTAGTTCAATCACATTATGAGCCAGTTAATTTTACTCTGGTCCAAGGCCATGACCCAACCCTAACCCCGTTCATCCACAGTTCACAGATGGAGGCCAATGATTGCAAGGAGACCTGGCCAAGTCCCACAAATGAGTCAGGGGAAAATGTTCCCACCACTTAAAAAACACCCTTTAATTCCACAGCACAGTGATGCAGGGAAAGAGCATCATGTACACACCTCACTGTCAACGCATTCTCTTCATTCTTTACTGCCCAGAACACGTTCCACATCCTCCTTGACCTACCAACTCGGATTCCCTTCCTTTCCCAAACCCACTGAAAATGTGGATCATCTGTTTGCTTAGATCTGCTCTGGAATCATGCTACCTCTCATGTGGATTTTTTTCTTTCCAGGAACCTGCCAGCACTTGAAAAAGCTGGGATTGGAGCCTTTGCCCTGTGCTTCTTGTTATGCCTTCACACTCAGCAACATGCACTGCATACAACAGGCACTCTTTCTCTGTGACATTAGGCCCTCTGGTCTACCATCTGTTTTTTTTTTTTTTTTCATTTTAAATTTATTTAATTGGAGGCTAATTATTTTACAATACTGTAGTGTTTTTTGCCATACATGGACATGAATCAGCCATGTGTGTACATGTGTTCCCCATCCTGAGCCCCACTCCCACCTCCTCCCCCATCCCATCCCTCAGGGTCATCCCAGTGCACCAGCCCTGAGCACCCTGTCTCATGCATCCAACCTGGACCAGCGATCTGTTTCACATATGATAATATACAGGTTCCAGCGCTATCTGTTTTTATGAGACTTTCTGGTAGGTAACAAGGGGAGGAGAAAACCCATGGACAGAACTGTGCAGAGAAATCGATCACGCCATCCAGACTCTTGAACTGTACACATTTAAGGCCCAGTTTGAGCTTCTCTGACGGCTCAGGTGGTAATGAATCTGCCTGCAACGCAGGAAACCCAGGTTTGATCCCTGGGTCAGGAAGATCCCCTGGAGGAGGGAATGGTAATCCACTCCAGTGTTCTTGCCTGGAGAATCCCATGGACAGAGGAGCCTGGTGGGGATATAGCCCATGGGGTTGTCATTAGTTTAAAATAACTTAAATTTGGTTGGAAGAGGGCATTATTTTTCTCCCATTTCTAATATGCTCATAGTTTAAACTACACGTTCATGTCACTTGAGAAACTCCTGAGGTCTTCCCATGGACAGGACACATCTCCGTTGCTCAATGGGTGACTGCGTTTATCACGGCCACACATGAGGAGGGGAATCTCAGTTCCACTCACACTGCAGTTTCTCCCCCTTGATCTTCTCAGCTCCCCTCCCATCACTGACTCCACTACCCCTCCCCTCCAAGCAGCACCAAGCTCCACAAACTCACACAAGGAAGCACTTTCAGGCATTCCTAATGCATACTTCATATCCCGAGGCTGGATGGGAAAACAGGTGTCAGCAATCTACCACTCACCCTCCAGGAAAACAGCCAGACGGGACCTCTAATGAGCAGCAGGTGGCCCACCAACCCACCACCCCGGCAAGATTTCCTTGAAATTTGCAGCGCGAGGTCCACATTGTTATTTGTGACCCACAAAGAAGAGCCAGTGGACAAGTACAGAGGCCCGTGGGAGGTACCCTTCACTCTCTCCAGTGCCTTCCACTTCCCAGACCCTGCGGTGAGTCACACAGCTGAAAGGGGATGCAGCACAATGCCCAGCCGCAAACATTTCTCCCGGGGTCCACGGAGCACTCCCTTTCCTCTCCAAGTTGCTCTCTTCAGCCATGAAAAGTCTGCAAACAGTAATATTTTGATAGTTCTGGAAACCATTTTGGAGCCAAAAAAGAGGTTTCCTTAGAGAGAGCTGCAATCCCCATCCTGCCTGGCCAGTATGCGCTATGCTGGACTTCAAGGAGATGTTCTGCCAGAGCTATTTGCTGTGAGTGACATTAATTAGGATCAAGAGGACAGTGGCCATCTCTCCAACTCCCCCATGCTAAATGTGACCCATCTGTCTCAAGCATCATGCCAATGCCAGAACCAAACCTGGAGGCAGCCTTCTTTTAGTTTCCTAACCATAAACAAAGTTAATAATGCCACAGTTGCTAACCATTAGAAAACTGGCAAATGGTAAAGAACATAATACAACCAGAGCAAAAGGCTTTCTATTCAGTGTTTATCATTAACACCCTGGCTCTTTCACCAAGCATTTGAAGGGGTTTACAGTAGAAGACAGTCATTCTGTGAGAATATTAAAATGGAAACTTTAATATGGAAACTTTTCATGGTTGAAAGCAACAGAGGTGGATGGAGGATAAAAATGTTGAATGGTGGGCAGAAAATTCCTATGTCCAGAAAACTTTTTTGCAATCAGGACAAGGACTTGTAGAATGTGAGAGCTAAGGAGACCTTTGAATCATCAAAAGGAGTGATTGTCATACTTCCATGAGCAGGAGAGAACCAACCGGGAGATCTGGTAAAATGCAGACTCCTGGGCCCCACCCAGGGTGTCTAAGTCGGGGATAGTGATGAGAACCTGGATTTCTTACAAGTTCCTAGGTGATGCTGATGCTGCTGTTGCTGTTCTGAGGGCCAACCAGACTTTTGAGAACCACTGGCCAAAGACTTGAGATTCATAGCTGTGAATATTCATCAGAATCAGCTAGGTGGATTCTATACACGAAGAGATTCTGATCCAATATATTTGGCAGGGCCAAATCAGGGAAGCCCTCTCTTTTTATACATGCAAAAATATGTTTTTAAAAGAATCTTAACTTTAAGAAAGCATAAGAGTTTGCATCATGAGAAAAAATATAAACTTATTGATCTATCCAGAGGTAACAACCCTGCATAATCTTCAGAGTATTTGGCAAAAAAAAGCCCCCTGACAGGACATGGCTACCAGTGAATAAAAACATTCATGAAGCATGTACAATTGTGTTTTGGTGGATAGACCTTACACTAACCAAAGCTGACCAGGGCAAAATTCAACTAGATGTTAACTACTCAAAAAGCCATTCTGCTACTAGATGAGGCCGATCCAGCCTTAGATTTTATCAAGTTCAACAAAACCGAGCTGGAGGTCACTTTCAGTTTGTTTGTTTGTTTGTTTTTAAATCAAATTTACCCACCAAAAACACAGGTCAAAGATGACTATATAAAACTAGGTAAGGTTGTGTGTGTTACAAAAAATTTTCACCATTAAGCAGAACTAGATTAAGATTTTAACGAGGCCCCAAAGATTGAAGAGATTATGTATCTTCCTTTTCCCTCCCTAGGTGTGCCAAAAACTAAGTGCACGGAATTCCAATGAGGTCCTGATGTCCCCCTTAATTTAAGACTTATTTTTGACCATCAAAATTTTCACTAAAAAAAAAAAATTTTGTGTGTGCTTCTTGCTTATGCCTTAAGCACACGCTTAGCTGATGTACTAAGCAACGCACACTAGATATGAAGTTTCTTTAAATAGTCTGTTCCACAGTGACAAAAATATAGGCTTAAGAATCTCAAATTCTATTGCTCACTAGTATATGTTTTTAGAAAGATTATGTAAGCATTAGTTTCTTCAGAGAGTGAGGGCACTGAACCTCATGTAGAAGTGATAAAGTTAAGTTGATATAATAAAGTAAAAAATCCTAGCCCATGGCTGTTATAACGGCAGCTAATCAATACGTAGTTGCTACTATTATTTACAATAGATCACAAACTCCTCTATTGCCTAAAACAAGATATAGCTTTACTACCAAAACAATGGACCTACCAAGATTTGCAATGCAATCTTCAACATTAAATGGCTATGCAAAACCATTTTGTAATGGATTTTCTATGGAGGATTATTCTTGTCCAAGACAAGTAAGAAAAACCGCATGTTTACAACTCCTAGAAGTTAAGTCCTAGAAGTGTTGTTCCTTCAAACAAGAACACCTGTCAATGTAGGTCACGTGACAGGACTTGTAAAATCTGCCATTGTTCCTTATACTTGGAGCAGATTTCCTCCTTAGGTAATCAGAACACAGAATTTTCATCTTTTCCAATGGGCAACTATATTTTTGAACAAAATTTCAACTTGATCTTTAAAACAATAAAAATAAAGAAAAGGTGGGAGAATTATATACACCTTTCTTCAGGAGAAAGGAAAAGAATATGGTATAATTAAATTACTTTAGACATATTTTAGACTTTGCTACTTTATTTCCACAAATTTTCTATTTTGTTTAGGAAAAAAACACCTTGCAATAAAGATTATTTTTTCTTTGCACAAATATTCAGACTGTGTCAAGGATGAGTACTAATCAAAGAAGAAAACACATATGTAATACACTTTTAAAAGACTACCTCATTCATGATGGATATTAATGAAATTTATCATGGCAATCATTTCACAATATATAGATATCAAATCACTATGTTATGCACTTTAAACTGATATGATGTTCTGTGACAATTATATCTCAACAAAACTGAGAAAAAAAGACCTCATTTAGTTTCTCTACTATAATAAACTAAAGATAATCAAACTCAACTTTCAAATAAACATTTGATTTTAAAGAAAAATGACATTCAACATCTATTCTAGACAATGTTCTTCATCCTATGAACA